TGCTCTTTCCACACTTCTTTTTCTTCTCCACTTCTTCTCACATGAGAGGTATTCCACCATCTCTAATAGGTGGTATCCCATATCAATCTCCAATGCCTCTCTCTTTAGAGAACAAGTTGCTCTGAGTAATTTGATAACCCCGATGAGTGATCATTCTTCCCTCAAAATACCCATGATGAAAAAATATCAACCGTCTCCTATATAAAATAGTGGTCCAAGGAGACTTTACAAGGCACTAAGGATTGATGTTGTGATGTCTACCATTGCTGGTGATTCTTTGAAAATATTTTGCAAGAAATTATTTTTTTTATAATTATTTGTTGATAAATGCTTCTAAAAATTATGACCATGCATGTTTTCAGCTATCAGGATGGATAACTATTTATGAAAAGAGCTTTCGAGCAAGCTTATGATTCCCTCCTACTCCCGAAATGATTGATATTCCAACATGTGGTGGTAGCTTGTCTCAATTTTCATATAGATCTATGTTAATCATTATGGGACAATTTGTCTTCTTAAAGGATCATGGAGCAATCTTGACACTAGAGTACTTTTCACATATAAGTCATTTTAAATGTGATACTTAAGATTGTATTATATTTAGATCCAAATGGTTAGACATTTGTATTATAGATCCACTAAAGAGTTGGGTCTATATATTTTTCTTTGTAAAGAATGTCTGGAATCGTATAGAGAAGTGAAGAAAATTAAAAGAGCTGTTAGCTCCCCTTCTTATTGAAGAAGAAAATCTATTCATAATTCTTAATATTTATGAATTTGAAAGTCTTTTTATATGAGGTACTTTATCTTGAAAGGTATGTAGAAGAAGACTACTTATTCAAAGTTGGTATATCTGTTCATGTGAGGAGGTCTCACATGACTATGTTAAAAAAGTCAAACAAAAATCAAAAGGTAACTACACAAACATTGAAAGTTTTATCCAAACGGTTCTTTCATAATAATGATCCACCACTTTAATCCAAGAAGAAGAAAATAGATGGAACTCTAACAATAGTAACCAATGATAAGGGTCATAAAGATTCTTCTCCATATGTTCATCTTTGAAGTTACATATTCTTAAAGAAGTATTGACTCGTAAATGTAGTGGATGTCAACGAGTCAATAAATTGGTGAGTAGTTGTTCTTCTTTCTCTTCTTTTCATACATACAAAAACATAAGTTTCTTGTAGACATCTTGTACTTATTTCAGATGTTACAGCAAATCGATATTGATCATGAGCTAACTTAAACCTTGAACGAACGAAATAATTAATTTATAAAGATTAGTCATCTTCAAGGAGAATATAGGTGAAAATATGAAGTGAATACTGGGGAGATGATGGCAGGGAAAACCAATTAGAAGAATGTAGAATTGAATTAACTACCAAGGTAATTTCTATTTCTTTGTCATGTCGAGAGATAGATCAGATCCAAAGTGAATTGGTTAATGCACAAGCAAAGATTAATTAGCATGTGAAGGACCGACAGGGTTTTTGAAATGAAGATAGCAACTCTTGAGGATGAAAATAAGAGATTTAAGAATCTTCTATCTTAGAAAAAATCTTTTTATCAAAGGTTAAGTCTAGATTAGGATTATTATCTCCCAAAGCTATAGAAAATTTTAAAAAATCCTTAGCCTACAAGAGTATGATTCAAGATTTATTTAAAGGCTTGTGATCATATATATAATGTAAAGTGAAGGATTTGGAGCGACTATGAATTGAAGAAGGCTTTACTCGAGGCTTCATAAAAGAAATTTGACTAGTACAACGTCAGATAGGAGCAAATATATAAGGTTCCTCCCCAAGCCAAGCATATGAAGATATTCAGCCAAATATAGAAGATGATGTCAAGAGTGTTTTAAATAGCGATGATACTATTGATATCAAGTAGTAAATTATATTATATGTTATATTTAAAGAGTTTATACCCTCCTTTTTTATATGCATACAAGAGTTTCTTCATTAATTTTTATCTTCATTATATTAGTATAAGTTTTAAACTTTTGCATGCGGTGAAATTAGAATAAAATTTATTAGATTTTTGAAACCCTTTTGACGTTGCTCATCAAAATATGACATTAATTGGTATAAAAGAGGTCAATTAAATCCCCCTTTGGATACTAAAAAGATGTCATACCTTTCTAAGATTTTTTATCAAAACATGATTTTAGCCTTTATAGAACAGGTCAATTAAAACCCTTTTGACGTTGCTCATCAAAATATGACATTAATTTGTATAAAAGAGGTCAATTAAATCCCCCTTTGGATATTAAAATTTTTTTTACACCTTCCTGGAATTTTTTTTTTATTAAAACATGATAATAGCCTATGTAGAATAGGTCAATTAACGCATAAGATATATATACATATATATATGTATGTATGTATATATAGCAGCATTATATCACTTTATGAATCAAATTGAAATTTTAATCACGATTCTAAAAATATTTTTCATAATTTCAAATATATTTTTGTGACTTATAGCTAACCTAAGTATAAGATGATCATGAACATTAAGGGTACTATAAGATATGAGCATATTCTAGCAACTATAAAGCACAAACAAATCAAGGCTATAAAATAAGTGTATAGAAGGGTGATTATGAGGTATGAATAAATCAAGGTGAATGAAAGATAAGAGCATGCAAAGTCAACTACATGACATGAATAAATTAAGGAGACTTTAAGATAAGTCCATATCGGGGCGATTATAAGCTAAAAACAAAACAAGCTTATTATAAGATAAGATCATAACATATTAACATGACAATCATATGGTATGAGCATAATAAGGTGATTATAAGGTATGATCAAGTGGAGGAAACTACAAGGTAAGATAAAATTAAGGCAAATATAAGAAAATATTGCATAAAGGTGTTTATTAGGTGATTACTGAAATAAAAACATACAAAGTCAACAATAGAGTATGATTTATACAAAACTCATCAAATTCAAATAAAGGGAGAGATCATTAATGTGATACTTTGTCTTTTTAACACAAGCACATGTAATTCATTTATCATACAAGTGTTATATATTACAAGTGATGCAACCTAGCTTACTTTAAAAAGCAAGAGAAAATTTACATGAATTTTTTTTTAAAATTACATGCAAAATATTATTATTTTTTTAAAGAAATTATCAATAGGATTTTTCTAACTTTTCTCCTAGGAAGGTTGTTGTAAATAAAAAAATAAAAAATAGTTCAATGGTGGTCTCACATAGAATGGAGCCATTTTAGATAAATACTAAAAGATAAACTCTCCAACAATGAGAAAATGGATGGATAAAGAAAAATCAATATGCTTGTGCTTAGAGATTACTTCAACATTTAGCTCTTGGATTTCTCAATTAACCTGATCGAAAATCTCATCTAGCAACTGAGAAGAGTGGCTCCCAACAACTTAACCCTCTAGTAGTGTCGCTTGGCTCCTTTTTTGTTCCATGGGGGTCTTAAGCACTTTCACTATGATGACCAAAGAAAAGGGGCATCTTAACTCCATGAAGTATAAGTGCTTTACCACATATCTAGGGCTCAAGACTAAAATTCATGTGGCTCCTCATTTTTCTTCTAACCATCCACATTAACTTCAATACGTCTTTTTAACAACCTTGTTGACTCTCATCATGCTAGGATTTGAGGGCGGTAAGTTTTAATTAACAACTTCTTCACTTAGGTATAAACCTCCTTTCTTTACATATGTTAACATATCCTTAGAATTGCCAACATGAAGCTTAGGAGGAGGAAATTACTAGTGAAGACCATTGGGTGCAAGCTCCTGTTACAACTTATCAATCCATGTGGGACTCTCATGAGAAGCCTCTTCCACTGCATTTGGGGCTAACTTCACCTCGAAACTGCTTTTTATCAAAAAAATTACCAACAAGTTTACTTGGCATGAACCTAAAATTCAAGTTGCAAGATTCTTTATAATAAAAAACAACTTACCTTCAAATGCCTTAAAAAGTTTTCCTTCCACCAAGTTAATCTTTCCCGTTAAATTGCATCAACAACATACTCTTTATCAATAGGCTCCTAAAAAGGAATAATTCCTTACCTAGCTTATCTAGCTCCAACTTCATCTACCTAATCGACTCAACCTCTAGGATCAAATCCATGTTCCTCATTATTTCATAAGCCTTCAGCTTCCTCCACTCTTCATTATATATGTGATTATAGTTCTCTCTAGAAGAGCCTTGATCCTGAAAGTAGGATAAGAGCACTTTCTTGTCATATAAGAAAATTGAACTATATATATATCTCACAAGGATAAAATGTAAAAAGAAAAACCCCATAAATGAGGGCCTTAAATCTATATTTATAGATGCTTGGGATGGTAACATGTGCGGAGTAGTCAAATAAATTTAGCTTTGCATTGAGTGTGAAACATTTGGTCATAATTATTTTTTAATTCTCTGATTCTTTGAATAATTCTGCATGATAAAAATATGATTAATGTCCATTACATATAAGTATATTAGTGAGAATTGGAAAATTAAGATGATATATAAATATTTTCTTAAGAATCATATGATATACCAATAAATTCATAGCTTTTTAATTATAATTATATATATAAACTATTGCTCATATTTAATGTTGAAGAACGGTGTGTAATACTACTTATCGCCTCCTCCATCGTTACTAATTTGCTCCTTCCTCATTGAAGGAATATATCATCAAATCAACGCATAGTGGACCTTATTCGACAATAAATACAAAATTCTCATTACAATTAGTGCAAACTGCAAAGGTCAAACTCACATATATGCTAAATTTCGGCACATAAAAAGAATTTTAATTTAAATGCGGCCTTTTTTTGCTCTTATGGATGAAAAAAAATTAAAAAAAAAATTAAAGAGGAAACAGACTTCCCAGCCATAATTGAAGGGAAGGCAATAAAGCGGACACAGACTTCTCAGCCATAATTGAACAGCAAGCTTCACAACAAGCTTTTTTATCGAAGGAACCCTCAACCTTGGTAAGGATTTTTACAGAAGAGTACAAATATCATAGGCTGTCTCAAATGGTGGAGCTCCATGGTGTCCCCACACCTTATCATTCCTTATCATCACACCAAGCTATCCAAAATCTTTGAAAGAAACTCAAAATTTGCTCAAACTTCATCGCAAACGCTTCACTTTTTTAAGCGCCTCCGCCTCCCTTCGCCATCCTTTCCTCTTCCCATACAAGCTATCCAAAATTTGAAAGGAACTCGATAACTTGTTCATAGAAGTTGTACAACTGCACAGTATAAAGGCCTCAACTTTTTCAAGCAGTCTCCCTCTTCCCTTCTCCAAGTTCACCCCTTCCCCTTCGTCTTCCTTCCTTCACTTTAACACCTCCCTTTTTTTTTTGTCTTTTTTTGGTCATCATCATCTTCATCTTCTTGTTCTTCTTATTCTTATTCTATCACATCGAATGTTTCATGTCATTCACAAAACGCAATATAACCATTTGGCTAAGACGCACTTCGATGTCCTTTTGAGCTGGAGCAAGCTCGTCTCTATATTGGGAAATAGAAGGAAGAAGGGGGCATTCTGGTCACTGAGAGAAAGAGGGAGAGAGAGCACAGAGAAGCAGGGAGCAGGAGCACTTTCGTTCGGCCTTGGCTACTAGCTTTGATTGGGGTCTGAAGTACATGAAAGGCGAGTGATTTCTGGTGAGTGGGGGAGGTGGCGTGGATGCCTTTCTGGCGCTTTATCACGCTTTATCTTATTGATGCTTCTCCTGTTTTTACCATTTATTTTTAATCATGTTCATTTTGGATAGATAATGGATAGATAATGGACAGGGCAATCAGACATCCCTCACCACGTTATTCCCCCATCATTCTCTCAAAGGAATCTACTTTCACGGAACCAATGATTCAGGATTCCTACCAATAATCATCACCAAGCCACCTCCATCTTCTTGCTTCTTATCGCCATCATCTCTTCTGCCGCCCCCTTGGAGCCAAATCCCACGAGGGTGATACAGTTCCTGTTCGATTCTAGGTTCGATTCCTTCATAACTTGCGTGTGATCTGCTTTGCAGTAACTAAACTCTTTTTTCTGTCTATCTCAAGGTCGAAACTTGCTGGGTTTTACTTGTTTTTCTGATTTCGATTTTTTTTTCGCTTTTTAGGATTAAGCTGAGACTTGCTCTGTAGTTAAATTTTGTTTGCTTTTTGTTCCTCCCTTTGTCTTTCGTAGATTTTAGTTCGTTATCCAAGTATTCGATACCTCCAGTTAGTTCCAATTTGTTGGACATACAGGAGGACCTTTCATTTAACCTTGATTTTTTGGCCATGTTGTTTGGATTTTTGTTAACTGAAAACTTTGTTTTTTTTTTTTTTTTATACGTTAAAGTCAACTGAGATTACCACTTCATCTTGGTTCTTCAAATCTAGCTCTTCATTGCAAGCATACCGTTGAGTTCCTGGTTCAAAAGAACATGAATACTTAGTTGCTACTCTGGATGATCTTTCTTACTGTCAGAAGATTGAATTTTGATAAGTATGCTGGTTATGGATCTTCTATGATTTCCCCATGAACTGGTTTATTGATGCTGGAGTCATGGAGCAGAAGAGTGGCTTCCTTGGTGATAAGGGCAAGTGTTGGTTATGGTGGGCAGAGGAACTCTCGTTGAGGGGTTGGAAGAACCACATCTACTGCCATTATTTTGGTTCCAAGAAAATCAGGGAGACTTGGTGGAGAAAGCTTCTCTTTTTATGGGTTGTAGGTTGGTTGCTTGGTTCTTTATGGATTTTCTGGTTCATGTACTCACAAGCTGTTGAGAAGAGGAAGGAGACACTAGCGAGTATGTGCGATGAGCGAGCTCGGATGCTGCAAGACCAATTCAATGTGAGCATGAACCATCTTCAGGCTTTAGCAATTCTTATATCAACCTTTCATCATGCAAAAGAGCCTTCTGCAATTGATCAGGTAGTACCTCATCTTATAATCTTTTCTTTGTTTTGCATTAGACAACGTAGAATTTTATTTTGCCTGATTTAGGCTTCGTTTGGTACGGCTTTCTTACTGCTTCTTAAAACGTCTTTTTAGTAAAAAAAATTATTTTTTGTACTAAAAAGCCGCTTTAAGAAGCAGAAAGAATGTTGTCCCAACTGAAGCCTTATATAGCTTTTTTTCTTCTTGATTGCTACTGAAAGAGCTTTATTTGGTTTGGATTTCATCATTAATGAGCAGATGACTTTTGCAAGATATGCTGAAAGAACTGCTTTTGAGAGGCCATTGACAAGTGGTGTAGCTTATGCTGTTAAGGTTTTACATGCTGAAAGAGAGGAGTTTGAGAGGCAACAGGGATGGACCATTAAGGTAATGTATTCCAAAAAGCAATCTCTGGCTGCTGAGACACAGGAGGTGTCACCTGTACAAGTGGAGTATGCTCCTGTTATATTTGCGCAAGATGCATTTAAGCATGTAATCTCAATTGATATGTTGTCGGGCAAGGTAAAGTTGTCGACCTATTTGTCTATCTACCACTCATTATTCAAATCCAAGACTAAGCTGTTGCTTTCTTAAGTAGGAATGTCATTAGCTCTTATGTACTCAACTAAAATATTCCCTGCTTTTTATAGTAGTTAAAAATTTCGATAAATTATTAGGTTCGGACACTGGATAGAGAGAATCATCCGAATTTCTCTCTGTCTATAATAAAAGCGCAGCTGCTACAGTTCCTGCGCTTTTATTGTAACCCATTTTCCCATATGATGAAGCAATTTGTTATCATCTAATTGTGACTGGTGATTTTGCGTATTGTCATAAGTATGATGTTCCAAATTATTCGAAAGTGAACTTGGTTCGATAAGGCTGAAACAGTTATCCAAGTCTATTTCTTTGCTTACTGATACAATATAACTGGGTATCTGCAACTTTTGATGAGATTTAATAGCTAGCAGTGTTATGTTTCTAACTTACCCTTCATTATGAATATATAAATATATTAGCTGAGTGAAAATTTCCATATGCAGGAGGACCTTGAAAATATCCTAAGAGCCAGGTCGTCTGGGAAGGGTGTTTTAACAGCTCCCTTCAGGCTTCTAAAATCAAATCGTCTCGGTGTCATCCTTACATATGCGGTCTACCGGAGAGAACTTCCTGTAGATGCAACTTCGCATGAGCGAATCCAAGCTGCCATTGGGTTGGGCATTTGATTAATAACTCAAATATATACTAGAAAATATATTTCTATTCTTAGAAGCTCATTTTAAGAACTTTTTTCAGGTACTTGGGTGGAATTTTTGATGTTGAAGCTTTGGTAGATAAATTACTTCACCAGCTTGCTTGTAAGCAGTCTATTATGGTTAATGTTTATGACAACACTAATTCTGATGAACCTATAAGTATGTATGGTGCAAACATTACTAATAAGGGCATATACCATAAAAGTTCTCTCAATTTTGGGGACCCAATGAGAAAACATGAGATGCATTGCAGGTAACTTAGATGGTTTTTTTATGTGGAATTATTGAACAGGAACATATCATAATTGGCCATGAATTTGCAATCAGGTTCAAGCAAAATCCACCTTTGCCATGGCTTGCAATTACAACTTCATTTGGAGCTCTCGTTATTGCATTACTGATCGGCTACATTTTCCATGCAACTGTCAACCGCATAGCTAAAGTAGAAGATGACTACAGAAAAATGATGGAGCTTAAAAAGAGGGCAGAGGCAGCAGATGTTGCTAAATCACAGGTAATTTAATAAATGTTTTGTTTTATTTGTTAAGTGTTCTGGTTAGTTAATTATTTTTTCAATGCAAACTTATTCTGGTAGAGGTGGACCTAAAAAAACCTGGTTAGAAAATATTAGAAATGATCTTTCTTTATTAGATTTAAACGAAAATTTGACTTTTAATATGACACAATGGAGAAAAAGGATTCATATAGCCGACCCCGCATAGTGGAAAAAAGCTTGATGGTTTTGTTGTTGTTGTTGTTGTTGTTGAAACTTATTCTGATGCTTATGTTTTAGTTCTTGGCGACTGTTTCTCACGAGATCAGAACCCCGATGAATGGAGTTTTGGGTAAGGATGAAATACTAGATTGTTACTTGTTTAGTTGAAGCTCTATTTCTAAAAGTATTATGAATCTTCCTCAAAAAGATTCTACTAATTGTTGTTGTTGTTGTTTAGGTATGCTACAAATGCTCATGGACACTGATCTTGATATAACACAAGAAGATTATGTTAGAACTGCTCAAGCTAGTGGGAAGACTTTGGTCTCACTTATAAATGAGGTTCTTGATCAGGCAAAAATTGAATCTGGTAAGCTTGAGCTTGAGGCTGCTCCTTTTGACTTGAGATCTGTTTTTGATGATGTCCTGTCACTCTTCTATGTTAAATCTCAAGAGAAAGGAATTGAGGTAACTAACTGCAATTTGTATGTATGTTTTTATCTAATAATGTTATCATATCTTTATAAGAATGTTATTTTCCATCATCTGACTTTATGTTTTGGATTCGCCGCTTGAATTGGGCGTATAGTTGGCAGTGTATGTTTCCGATCTGGTTCCAGAGACCCTTATTGGTGATTCAGGACGAATTCGCCAAATCATCACGAACCTGATGGGTAATTCAATCAAAGTAAGACTTGGTTTCCAACTATTGTGTTTTAATTTGCTCCAAGTATTTCTTTTCTCTTGTTGATCTGAGCCTTTTATCAAATGTTTCCAGTTCACAGAAAAGGGGCATATATTATTAACTGTTCATCTTGTAGAAGAGGTTATGGCTTGCTCATTAGAAGAGGAAAAGAAGGGACATTCTTTGTATAGCTTGAGTGGTTATCCAGTGATTGATAGAAGGCAAAGCTGGGCTAACTTTAAAATCTTCAACCAAGACCTTCCAGGATTTCAGCAGATTCTCTCATCTTCATATTCTGACCTTATAAACCTGATCATTTCTGTTGAAGATACTGGAGTGGGGATCCCGCGCGAAGCCCAATCCCGAGTATTTACTCCCTTCATGCAGGTTGGGCCCTCGATTTCAAGGATTCATGGAGGTACTGGAATTGGGCTAAGCATTAGCAAATGCTTGGTGAGTCTAATGAAGGGCGAGATTGGTTTTGCAAGTGAGCCTCAAGTAGGTTCTACATTCACCTTTACCGCTATTCTTTCAAGAGCACAAGCCAACTTGAACGAGTACAAGCCATCAGAGTTTCAAGGAATGACTTCTTTAGTCATTGATCATAGGCCAGCCCGCGCAAAGGTTACAAGATATCATCTCCAACGACTCGGAATACAATCCGAGCTAGCAATGGATCTGAAGGACGCCATTCCATTGATTGCAGATAGAACACAGCTTGTTAATATGGTACTTGTTGACAAGGAGGCTTGGTCAAAGAATGAAGACCTTTGGCCTCTTTTTATGGACAAACTAAGGAAGGAGAAAAAATTAGATACTCCAAAAGTTTTTATTTTGGCTAATCCTTGTAACTCTGCTAGGAACGGTTCAGCAAACTCTATGGAATATGGTTCTACAGTGATTATGAAACCCTTAAGAGCAACTATGCTTCTAGTATCTTTGCAACGTGCCATGGGAAGTGGAGGCAAGGATAACTTCCAAAATGGAGTGCTTCCTGGTTTGTCTTTGAGTAGCCTTCTTCATGGAAGGCAAATTCTTGTTGTTGATGACAATATAGTGAACCTCAGAGTAGCTGCAGGTGCTTTGAAGAAGTATGGAGCTGAAGTAACCTGTGAAGATAGTGGAAAAAAGGCTATAACGAAGCTCAAGCCTCCACACAAGTTTGATGCTTGTTTTATGGATATTCAAATGCCTGAAATGGATGGGTATGCCCCTCTTGCATTCCTTTTTATGAGAACTGATGGTTCATTTCTGTTTTTCATAGGAAAAGGCTGTCATTCTATGATGCACTGACACTTCTCTTCAAAGAGGTGTGCAATGTTCGACACGGATCCAACACGACACGCGTCTGACACTTCTCTGACACGTGTCGGACACGCCAAAAACTTGTCCGATTAAAAAATATTAAATACAAATTGGACACACGTATCTTAAATACAAATTTGATGCTCGATGCTAGCAATTTCTACACCCACAACTTGACATCTCATCTTTGTCCAACGTCATCTCAACATCTACGATCAATGCCCTCTCAACATCGATAATAAATGCCCTCTTAACATTGACGCCCAATATTTACTGCATAACATCAATGCCTAACTCTCGACAACATTATCATCTCCTCTCTCGATGACTGATAAACGGCATTGACGCCCGACTCTCGGCATCCTAATGTTAATCATTTTAAGCTCAAATTCTAGTTAAATGACTTATTTTTTCTAATTTTTTTAAATTATATTTATTTAATTTTATACATTATTTTTAAAATATAAAACTATAATACCGTGTTCAACTCGTATCTGTGTCATATATTTTCAATAATTGACATATCCCGTGTTCGTGTCGTGTCGTATCTGTGTCGTCGTGTCTGTGTCTGTGCATCATAGCTATCATTACTACTGATCAGTTATTGCTTTAGATAATATCTCAGACTTCTATATCATGAATTGAAATTTTATCTGTTAAACTAACGTTCATTGATATTTTTGCTTGTGATAAAATTTACTGTTGACTGAATTTTTTGACTTGAGAAAGGTACTGTGGCATTTGACTATCTTTTTTCAGGTTTGAGGCTACTAGAAGGATACGCGAGATGGAGGCTAATATAAACGATCGCATAAAGCATGGAGAAATTTCTTTAGAAGATTGTGGTAAAACATTGCATTGGCATGTTCCCATATTGGCCATGACAGCAGATGTGATCCAGGCTACACATGAGGAGTGCTTGAAATATAAAATGGATGGCTATGTGTCAAAGCCATTTGAAGGAGAGCAGCTATATAGGGAAGTCACTCGATTTTTTAAATCAAACACAAAGAAGATTCAGTAGGTCAGCTTATTGTTCTTAATGATACCAGAGGATTTTGACAAGAGGGCTCTTCTAATCCAGCCTCACGAATCCATCGAGCTTTTGGTTGATTTGATGAGTAAGCGCTCCTACGATTATGAGGTAATTTGCATTATGCAGTTATTATATATGTCGATATATATTCAGCACTTGGAATTATTCTGTGCAGAAATCGGACTCAGAACGCCGTCTAGAAACCAACCAGAATGCGTCACGTCAGCAGTACCGAGCAGTACTAAGTCGCGGTACCGAGCACAGAGGTGACGTGGCACACTCTGGTTGGTCTCCGGATGACGTTCGACGTCCGCACAGAATAATTTTTCCTGAGGTTCAGGAAAGAACTTCATACCCTACGATGATGTTCCATCACACAACTAAATTTGATAGTGAACAAAGATTCTGAGGTTGGAGCAGTAGGTAGGTTTCCTCCATTTGACCTATAGATGTGATACATTCTAGTCACAAAAAAAGAACTTTATATGATGCAAGAAATAAATATGGTAGCAACTTGCACTGAAGTAAGCTTTTATTGGAAATGTAAGCCAGGGGTGAGACTTTGCACTCTGCAATTTCTACTCTGAAATGGAGCTCACTAACTTCTGGTTCAGATCAAAGCTAGACAGTGTAAAGATGTAGAAGTAGCTATTGACCTCAAATTCCATGTCCTCGTTGTACAGTAGGGAGACACTTCTTTTCCTGGTTTAAAGGTTTGTGCAGTAGATTGAATGAAGTGTAAAATAAATATGGTAGCAACTTGGGGAGATTCTTTGGTTCCTTCTACCAATTATGATTATGAGTGTATAGTGATGCACAGTCTTTGACATCTTTCAATTATTTGTTGAATCATCTGATAGTTTTGCATCTGAACTTTCTCAATACTTTATTGCTTGGATGTTAATTAATAAGAAAAAAATTGTTCAAGTCTGGTCGCTTGTTCTTGTGTTTTTTCCTCATAAAATTTAGCCAGTAACCTCTCATAAACATAATTGTTTTCTTGATGTTTTGGTGTTCTATTTGAGATGAAAGTGCTTGGGACTATGAATTTCAACTCATGAACTGTCGCGAAAGGTCTTTTTAACAGCAGTTAAAACTTATTTTGTAGGCTTTGGATTGTGAATATTTAAATTTCGTAATGTGAGTATTTAAGTTTTATTTGGGACAATTTTTTTAATGCTTATTAAAGCAACTTTTTAGTATAAACAATTTAATTTTTAAACTAAAAAGTTGTTTTAAAAAGCAATTAAAATTGACTTTTAGCACCAGTTCAAAAGTCATTGTAAGATGTGATAAATACAAAACTTTGGTTGTGTACCTACCATTGTTCACTATTGTAGTTTTCTACTATCACTCATTGTCACCCACCATCATCACTTTCTCCTATTGCTCTCATCACATGCTTTCTTTTATCCCTCCCATCTCCTCCAAGCCATGTTTCGCTCTCTTGATTTTTTGGGAAAAAAAGAGACCCGCTCGACAAGCATCTTCTTGAAGCATAGGAAAGGAGGAGGAAGAGAGGCTGAGATAGACTCTAGCTCAAGCTATGACTTTCATTTTAGCCGTTAATGCCAAGCTTAATCCATCTCAGTTAAAAATCAACTTCTCTAAAGCCAGCAATGGGAGATAATTGATGATGGGAGCGACAATAGAAAATCGGCAATGGAAGCAATGATACTTAAAGAAGTTAAGGTAAGCAGTATTTTTTGATGTTATTTAATGGTTTAAGTATTATCTACATAAAAATAAATTTAGATGTTATATATATATAATCAGTAGTTTTAAGTATTGTGTATACAAATCCTCCAAATAAAGATTTCATTAGTTATTCTTCCCATAAACTCGATATGATCCAAAATCTTTTCCTAATTTTCAATAATATGCAAAAAGCAACCCATAACAAAAAATAATAAAATATCAATTAGATTTCAACCCTTCTTTTCTTTACTCTTTCTTTTATAAATTCTTTATTTGTATAATTTTTTTGTGCATGAATTTAGTTAAATTATAGTTATAAATTTGATCAAAGAGAAATTATTAATCTTTTGAAAAGTAATTGTTATGTAGTAATCTTTTAATTAATTATTAATAAAAAATTATTTTAATTTAATTTTTGCTACGAAAATGATCTTTATTATATTTCTTTTATTTTGAAATAATCCTAAATTAGCGCAATATTATTTAGGTCAATAATTTTATGCTGAGTTTTATAAAATTGAATTTAATTATACTAAATTTTGTAATTTTTTCTTCATTAAAAGAGTTTCTTATTTCTTTTTTTGCACCAAATATTAGCTATATTAATAAGAATGACAACAATAAGAAATTTAGATGAACATAATTTGTTTCCATAATATTCACAAAATATTTACAAAAGCCTTTTAGGTAAAGATCATAAACCACTTATTTTTAAATAAAACACTCATCCTCATACAAATGCCAATCTAATTTCAACATCCATATTGATTTGGGATAGCATTGGCCTCTAGTGTTTACCGATCTAGCCCTCTTCTTTATATTTGGTGAAGGCCATGAATAACGTCATCTTCTTCTTGGTTATCTTCTTCTTCTTCTTCTTCTTCCCTTGTATGTTATTTTGATTTGAAGAGATGCTCCCAATAGGCTAAAAATACGTGATCAATTTGGATTGTATGTCTAGTGCATTTCACTTGTTCTTTTTATGAGTTATTTTTCAGAATGACATAATATAGTGGTGTATGAAAATAGTGATATAAACTTATATATATCTAAGTGGATTTACTAAAATATCATTATTGTACGGTACATGTAAGGTGGGAAACCCAATATACATTTACTCCTAAGCTCACATTTGTAGCAAATACAAATAGCAAGCCATGTTCACTCAAATAGGTTTTCTTACCTCTTTTCCATATATAAATTGCAACATCCACTGGATAAGTTGAGCAAAAGGATAAATTATATAACATGCATAAGTACTACTAAAGAATTTAGCACTTGATGTATCATGCATCAAGCAATAACCAATAATGAACTGGGTGTAAGTACAAATATATCTAATTAAGTATATATCGAGTATATCCGTATAATAGTTTTTAGTGAATTTTCAAATCAACCATCATAATATCATATATGTTTTGCACGTGTTTATCCCATATTAAATAATGTCATAATTTTATGATTAAATTGGTCATTACATAGAGCTTCAGAAATTATTTATATGCTAAGAAGCTCATCTAGCCATGTGCAACATTGTACACTAACTCTAAAGCACTATGGCCCATAAAGATTTGGTCATTTATTTGGACACCTAATATGATCACCATACCTTGGAGAGTAACAACTTCTCTTTGACTAATAAGTAGAGGATATTTATTTGTGTGGACCAACATTCCACTAAGGCTATGGTAGATTTTGATCTAGCTAAATGAATCAATGTTGATAAAGATAGATAGCACTTGCTATCTCAAGTGTTTCAATAAACCTTGGCTAGTCCACAAAACACTATCTAGCAATAGTAGCAAGCGGCTAACAACCTCCAATATGATTTCTTGTATTCAAATCATTAATGACTCAATAAGAGACTAATTAATTTAGTATTACCAATATATAAGCAAGGTTATTATTTCGAAGCCACTACTAAAATATAGGGCTATCGCAACACAAAATTAGACATTTGCCGACGGTTTTTAAAACCTCTCATAACAACTGTTGTGAAAAATCTTATTTTTTGATAGTAAGCGGGTTGATTGATCTAATCTATATAGATGTGCAATGCTTTGGTTGACCACTTATGGTGGTCGATCGCTCCATATCTTTGTTTATGTAAGCTTCTCATCAACAATGGGCCTTGGTCTTCTGATATTGTTTTATTGATTTTTCATTTCTCTTATCAACAAGAGCTTCTATGGTTTATCATGAGAGGATAACAGGAAAATAAAATAAGAGGACTCTTTGTCTTAGGCTCAATTTATGGGGAAAGGAAACCTTGGGGGATATAAATATTCAATCAATTTAAATATTTTAAGAGCAATTGGATTCATGTTCTCAAGGCATTGTTTAAACTAAAAGTATCATGCGTTGTTAATACTAATTAAATTAATAAGCCACATACAATTATAACTTAAAAAAAAATTATGAACTACTAACAACATTGCATACCTTATTAGATTCCTAGGAGCTGGTCAAATTCTTTTTTAGTGATTAAGGTTTTGTAAATATGCTATAAAGAAATTAACAGTTGTTATATAAAATAGCTTTCTAATACAAATTGGGATAGGGCAATGCCGTATGCTTTAAAAATTTCCCCGAGCTACTAATCCAAGGGGACGACTTGGACTAACACAAGAGATTTGCACTTCATCATACCGCAAGGTGGGTATTTATAGTTGCAAGGACGAAGAAGATAATAAACTCTCTAAAAATTTCTATAAATTTTTCAATGACTAAAATAAATTTTTGAAAATTTTAAGAGACAAAAATAAATTATCTTTATAAATATATATGAGAATTCAAAAGGTCATTTCAGAATTTTTTTTATTTTCAAGCAGTTTAAAAGCCCAAATACACTAAATAATAATAAATACAAGTATACTAAATAATAATAAATGAATTACGAGTGTGATGCCCTAGCCGCCTTCCCCTTCCCGCTACTTGGTTTTTTTCCCTCCTTTTCTCTGGCCGCCACCGGCCTTCTCGCCGGTGGCCATCATGGATCAGCTGGTTCAGCTGGATCCCAATCTCTTTCCACCCCTGCCTCATTCCATTGTCCCTTCTGCTACCCCGCGTGTGTTAGACCGTCGTTGGACTAATATTTTAGCTGATCCCGGTCCCTCTTCTCCCCAAATTCCTGTTTCTCTCATAGAAATGCCGGAGGACATCATTCCCTTCAACAAAGATTTTACTGAAGCTGCTGCTGCGGAGTGGAGTCTTTGCCTGGTTGGGTACTCAATAGGTAAGCGACCATACTATGAAGCCCTTAAAGAAACTGTAAAACGTATTTGGAAGCTCAAAGGTACTTTTCAACTCATTGCTCTTACGAATGGGTTCTTCCTCTTCAAATTTTCTTTGTTGGAGGATTTTGATATGGTGTGGTCGAAAGGGGCATGGTTCTAAACCATTTATTTTCCAGAAGTGGACAAAAAACTTTCATCCTACTAGGGAGAATTTCACTACTGTACCGATTTGGGTCAGGGTTCATAATCTCCCCTTAGTTTGTTGGAATTCAGAAGGGATTTCCAAGATAGCTTCAAAAATTGGAATCCCAATTGCAGTAGATGCGTTGACTGCTGCAAAAACTAAATTAACTTATGCTAGGATTTGCATTCAAGTTTCTACTACTTCCTCTTTTTCGGAATCAGTAGTTGTTGCTATAGAGGGGGAAGTTATCAATCTTCAGATACAATATGAATGGAAACCTTCTCCATGCTCTTCTTGTGCTTCTCTAGACCACTCATCTGCACAATGTCCATCTTCACTGCAAAAAGAGCAGAATAACCAAGCACAAAACAGGGGACGTAGTTCATCACGAAATCCTCGTAGGAAGTCCAAAAACCGTCCCAGAAATATAAATCAGATGTTAGCACCTACATCTAAACCTGTTACCGAATCCTCTAACCCCATGCTTATCAATCATGCCGCTACCACCTCTGTGCTATCCATGGTTCCGCCCCAAGTGACTTTTCCTACCACAATACACTCTACTGCAGACATAGCTAAAGTAGCATAGCTGCTTGGAATATTAGAGGCTTTACTGCTTCTAATAAGGTTACTTTTTGCAAAATGTTAGTCAAAACTCTTAATCTGGATATGATATGTATCATAGAGAACAAAATTCAGCTTTCTAGCCTTTATGATGGAGCTTTTTACAACAGCCACTTGGTATATGATGTGGAATCTAGCTGCAATAACTTTCACTGTGCCATTTCGGGTAGGATATGGATTAAATG